CCCTCTCTGGGCCCATGACTGCCGCCTTACCGGCTTTGTCGGCAGCCTAAAACACACCCACGTCATTGGTGCCGTAAACTCTTCTCAGCGCCCCTCTAAGCAAGTGGTTCCCAAAGCTCCACTTCCATCCCGTTTCACACGGAGCCTCTGGAAAGATGAAGGGGCTGAGGGCCCTGTGAAATGGCGGCATGGTTGGGGCAGGGAGGGTTCCCCAAGGAGGAGACTCAAGAGGAACAGGCTCTTCTGGTCCTGCTTTCTCCCTAAATACCACTCCAGCGACCCATAAAGACAGAAGATGAGGGAGGGCAACGAAATTCTGGAAGACAGAAAATGACTTAGCAGCCTGGAGAAACCAGACACCGGAAGTCCCTGCATGGTGCGAAGCCCGCAAGCAACCAGTGACCAGTTCAGCAGACGGCCAGAGAAACTCCGGACCCATGGGCCGATGAAGAGGAGGGTCAGGGAAGAAACAGCAGGAAAGGGTGAAGGTCTGCATAGGGAGCAGACACCCAGTCTCTTCTTTTCTTCCCAGCAGGGAGCAGGTGAGACACTGTCTAGAGAGCCTTGGTACTGGGGACACTGGTCCCAGCTGGGGTGGGGCTGGGTGGCACCCAGAGAATGGAGATGGAAGGAAATCTGCATGCCTGTAGTTTCTGTTATCTGGAGCACCCCCCCCCCACCTTGCAGCCTGCACCACCCAAACCTACTGATCCCCCACATGAGGTTTGCCAACCATCAGGCTCTCTCCCTTGCACGCAGAGCCTTCACTGCCTATATGTTGTCTGGATTCTCAACATGAAAGGCCAGTAGCCAAGGATTACCAGCGTTTGAAGAAAACCTCTAAAGAAACACACACCAAAACAAAAAGGCCAGGCAGGCAAAGATGAAAACGTAAAGCCACCACCCAAACCCATGATAATTAATACCTTCCCAAAGATGAGAGGTGGCTTCGAGCTGGAAAAGAACTATGATGGCAAAAATAGACACAAATTCATAGAAGGACTGAGAGTTAAGTAGACTATAAAGAAAAAAACCTGGAAAAAGGGAGGAGAGAGAGAAAAATGGGAAAATTAATCCAGGATACACAATACCTGAGAATTAGGAGACCAGAAAGAGAACAAGAGGGTGGAAACAAGAAGGAAACTCCCCATGGTCCAAGATGGTGAGTTTTCAGATAGAAATTCCCAGCACAGTGAATGAAAGAAGCCCACAAGAAGTGGGGCACCTGGGCGGCTCTGTTGGTTAAGCATCCGACTCTTGATTTCAGCTCAGGTCATGATCTCAGGGTCATGGGATGGAGCCCCACATCGGGCTCTGTGCTCAGCACGGAGTCTGCTTGAGATTCTCTCCCTCTGCCCAGCCCCCCACTCGTGCTCTCGCTCGCTCTCAAGTAAATCTTAAACACACACACACACACACACACACACACACACACTACTCTGTAACCTCAGAATCTGAGAGGAAAAGAAAGACCTCACAAGTCTCCAGAGAGGAAAGCTCAAGTCCTGAACAGAGGATGGTGGAGTCCAATGGCACTGGACTTCTCAACAAGAACGTGGGAAATAGAAAACAAGAATGCCTTTAAAGCTCTCAAGAAAACTGTTTCTGGAATTCTCCACTGAGCCACACTGTTAATTAAGGGTGGGAAAGAATTAGCTTCAGCAAAATGAGGGAGTTGAGGAAGAAGGGGCCATGGGATGCGGGGGCTCAGGGAAGCCCTGGGTGGCATGGCAGGACACGCCATGAGTGGAACCCAGTCCCTGGTGGTAAAAAAGAGACACAGGGGAGCCTGGCTGGCTCAGTCGGAAAAGCATGCAACTCTTGATCTTGGGGTCATGGGTTTGAGCCCCACATTGGGTGTAGAGGTTACTTAAATAAAGAAACTTAAAAAAACAGCAAAGACAGAGGCCCCAAATGGCTGCATTTTAGGCCAAGTCACTGAGTAAGGACTTTATTATCTAACCTAATTGTACCTAATTGTACTTTCAGACTTCCTAGAAACGTAGTCTTAACCGGTCAGTCAGGAATGTTCTGCTTCGCACTGATGAGGTCATCTGTCATGTGGGCCTTTCCCCATCCCCCAGAGGAACAGGAGGTACAGGAGGTGACCCGCCTAGTAAGACTGCTACCTGAGGGAAGGTGACCTTGCCTGGAACAATCCTTTTCTTTTGCTAATAACTTCCTTGCCCCACCTGCCTTCCTGTAAAAACCTTCCATTTTGTACAGCTCCTCGGAGCATCCCCTCCATGGGCCAGATGGGATGCTGCCTGATTCATGAATCAAGTCATAAAGGCAATTAGATCTTCACATTTACTGAGTTCAGTTTTTGTTCTTTCTTTAACAGTGGTCAGGCCTGAAAGGATGCTTACAGCACTTTCGGAAAATGAGAGGCTGAATTACTGTCAGAGAAACTTGAGCAGAGGTGGGGGGGAAAAAGCTGCAAGCAATTTTTAATTCCAAGAAAAACAGAAAAGTTGTCCAAGAAAGGAAATTAATGATAGTACACTCTGTGCCTTATCTGAGAACAGTGTTTACATAGTTCTGATGCTGAAATGAATACGGCTCTGCCCGAAACCCTGACAGGAGTCAACGGGAGGACCGCGGGGCGGGCATGCGTTCGGGGCGCGGGGCGGAGCGCCTGTGGCAGGACCGAGCACAGCCGGCAGGGAGCGCGGGCCTCCCGGGCAGGACGAGCCGGGCCGCGGGTGCGCAGCAACCCGCCGAGCCGCCGCTCCCCCAGCCCTCCGCAGCAGCAGCTTGCTGTTAGGACTTCCTTTTACAGCCGAGGCGGAGAGGTTAAGTGCTTTGCCTAAAGTCACAACCCAGGCAATTGGGTTCTAAAGTCGGCGCTTTAAACCACCATGCGAGCCTGTAAGGTAGGACGCCCTCAAGAAGTAGCAGTGCGCAAGTCATCAACAATATGAAGACAGATACCAAATGCCACAGCTTAAAGGTTTAAAAGTGTTGCCTCCAGGGAGTGGAAAAGGGTAGGCAGTTTCATTGTTCTGGTAAAGCTATTTGACTTTTTACATTATGGACACATATTACTTTAAAATTTAATCAAAGAGCAGAAAAGCTAGGGCACCAGTGATTGAGAGGGAGCGGGTCTCCAGTTTGGACTGGCTTTGCCGGGCTGTGCGTTCTTAGATCCTCACCAAACCTGAGAGCAGGCATCGCCGGACGAGATGTTTCCAAGTTTCCTTCCAGCTCGTAAGGCTCTGGCAGGGAACAGGACCACTTAGAGGACACTTAGAGAACTGGCACCGTGGAGAGCAAGTGAGGGCAATGCAGGGCTGGGTGGGGTGCCGCTGTGGGCCAGCCCCGAGGCGGCCTCTGTGAAGGGGCCTCCTGGTGGGCGAGTGCCCCCTGGGGATGGCCCGAGGGGGCGGGCAGGAGAGCTGTGGAGCGGTTTGGCTGAGACCCTCTGGGCGCTGCCCTGGGGAGAGGCTGCAGGGAGCAGAGAAGTAGGCCCATTTGGGGTTGGGGGCAGTCCTTGGGCGAGGGTGGGGATGGCGACCAGGGTGAGGAAGGGCTGGGCCCAGGGTTCCCTTGGGAGGAGCTGTGGACAGATGGCCTAGCAGCCAGGATGCAAGTGTCCGGGACTCAGGAGGCTCCTCCCAAATGTCTGGTCTCCAGGGCTGGTGTGCAGCCCACCCCTCTGTCCGTGTTGCTCTTCTCAACGCCCTCTGTGCCCAAGTTTGCCCATCCTCCCTGGTCCCCCAGCAGCAGCCCTGGGTGCCTACATGGTCCTCATCCCTCTGTACCTGCGCTCCAGCTTCTCCTTGATTCACCTCCAGACTTTCATGCCCAGCACGCCTCCCCTTTGCACCCCACAGCTCTAGTCTGTCCTTCCCTGTCACCAGAGTCACAGAACTAGAGCTCCCACCACGTCCCCGTCCTGCTCAAGGCGCCCGGCGCGCACCTGCACGGCCAGCCTGGTGCTGCTCCCACTGCCAAGCCTTTCCGACTGCAGTTTACCCGAAGCCCGTGGAACTCCTGACGCTCCGCAGGCTGGTGACTGAGGCAGTGGACAGGAGAGGAGTGGGCAGGCGTCAGCAGATATGTGGGTCTCTGGGGGCCGTGCACCCTCCCCAGACGCCGTGAAGAGGTGGGGTGAGGCCCAGACCCCCACACCAAAAAGTGGAAGTCCTGCGGGCCTAGTGTGACTTCTCCAAGGGCCACTTGCCACGGGACTGACATCAGGGGCGGTGCCCTCCTGGGGCCCGTGGCTGGTGTTGGCTGCCGCCAGCACATAGCGTGGGAAGGAAGGCGGCCGGGCGCCAGGCCTTGAGGAGGGAGGGGCCCCGCCTTAACTTCATTAGTTTTGAGTCACTTTCACACAGATGACTCTTCTCAGTTATGTAACCATCTGTGGCCAGACCCAGGTGAGCCGTAGCTATTTACCTTCACTCGAGAGCCAAGGTTGCTGCGCTGAGTCACAGTGAGTCACAGGGAAACCTCATTACCCTCTAGGACCTTGGAAAGGAACCGGAAGGTGTGATCGTTCAAGTTAGCTGGGTCCTGCCGCCAGAACCAGAATATAAGCTTAGTACTGAAACCTGAACAATCTCTTGTGACTACTTTATAGACGTGTGTGTGTGTGTGTACATGTGTGTACGTGTGTATGTTTGCTTATTGGTATTTCTAACTTAGCTATAAAAACTATTTATGTGTAATTTTTAAAGTCCTTTCAAAAACATTAAAAACTAACTGGTCTAAGAAACAGCAGCTCTGCAGGGCTTGATCCCAGACAGGCTGGCTCCTTCAGACACGTCTGTCCTTTCCCGAGTGCCTTTGCCCGGTAGCCGGTAAAGGGTGGCGTGTTTCCCGGAGCCCCCGAGCCCCCCAGGGATGGTGCGGAGTAGTGGGCCCTGGGCTGTGCTGCGGTCCTGAGCCCCGCTGGCCCTTCCCAAAGTGTCCAACCCCCACCAAGCCTGCAGGCTCTGCCCGGACCGTGTGTACCGTCTGCTTGCTCTCTCCCCCGCAGCTTCCTGGCCCTCATGGCTCGGGTGTTCGTGTACGGGACCCTGAAGAGAGGCCAGCCCAACCACAAGGTCCTGCTGGACCCCGCCAACGGCTGTGCCGCCTTCCGCGGCCGGGGCCGCACGCTGGAGCCTTACCCCTTGGTGATCGCCGGCGAACATAACATCCCACGTCTGCTCAACCTCCCGGGGCACGGGCGGCTTGTGCTCGGCGAGATCTACGCCGTGGACGAGCGGATGCTGAGCTTCCTCGACGAGTTTGAGGGCTGCCCGGACATGTACCAGCGCACCCCGCTGCAGGTCACCGTCCTCGAGTGGGAAGGCGCGCGCGGGGTGCCCGAGGAGGCGCCGGCCGCCGACGGGACCCTGCAGTGCTTCGTGTACAGCACGGTCACCTACGCACCCGAGTGGGTCCGCCTGCCGCACCACGACGACTACGACTTCCTGGGGGAGCACGGGCTTCGCTACAATCCGCGGGAGAACAGATGACAAGCGTGAGGACCAGTCCTCCGCTGCTCCGCCGGGGGCCGGGGGCCAGAGCCCCGACGATGAGACGCCCTCAGCCCAGTCTGCACTCAGTGCACCCGCGTAATAATGTCCTTTGAAACAAATACTTATAAAACTCCATCTGTGGGAAAAGGAACAATCTCTTTTTCAGCCGCAGCTGATTTTCCCAATATTTTGACATACTGATCACAAAATTATGCCTGAAGTCTGTCTAGCCTATAGTGCTTTGTTGCTTGCTGCTTCCAGAACGCCACGGGCTTGAATAGATAAGGAAAATTCAGGATCTTAATTCCCCTAAATGACATTTCAAGAACTCATGTCATATATTTTTTTTTTTTGCTTTGCTTTGAAGATAACGTTTAAAATGTAGACTTTGTGTAGCAGCTAGATTTTAGCAACCCTGCTGTATTGATTCTAACTTGTAGCAGCAAGAAGAATTTTTTAAACTGATTTGGGTTATCTCAGTATAATAAAAGAACCTCAAGAAAAACATTGTGTTTGGGGTAGTTTTAGAGCATATAAAACATTAGTATTCACAATTTTCAGATCAAGCTTATTAAAGAAGTTATTACTAAAGATGATCATATAATATTAAACTGGATGTTTTGGGAAACCAAACTTAAAAGTGTTGGTACTATTGTTGGCTTTTTTGGGGGGGGAGGGGGAGGGGGCTTTACATACTTGGTAGAAGGTTCTTTTCATTCTAATCTAGCAAAATCACAAGCCACCTACTTGCTGGCAGATGCTGCTGAACACCCCGATTTCAGATGGAAGCTCACCTGAGCCCAAGGCCCAGTGGCAAGGTGCCGTCCCTGCCTCCGAAGGGAGCAGCATTTGGGGGGTTGGGGGGCCTTTCAGAGAAGAACCAACACATTAGTAATTTGTTCTTCAGGCCTGACACAAAGCTTAGCTTCCAAATACAAACAGCACTTGAAATAATTTTAGCAAGGCACGAAGTACCAATTACTACCCACCTCCATCTGATAATCTGTCAGCGTTGATTCAGATCAGCACACGACTCTGCCTCTGCTTACTTACCAGCAAAGTATGAAATGTATTCCAAGAATTTCAGAAGCAACTGAAAATGCAGCTGCTGATCCTTAGTAACCTCGTTCTCCGCTGGGAGAGCTCCCTCGCTCTTCAACTTAATGGTAGACTGTGATCACTAACTGCATCTGGCATAAAAACAGGATCGGTATTTTTAGCCCTATTTTCTTAATTGGAAACTTGCTTCACAAAAACACAAAAAGGCAAGGATGGGTATCAACTGATGGGCTTGTGGCAGCCACACCCACCACTCCTGGGGTGAGAGAGCCCCAGCAAAGCCTGGGGGATGGGGAGGGGGGCCGCCCCCCAGGTCCATGGGCCCCGCACTCCCCCGTGGGAGCTGCGCAGGAGGGATTTCCAAATTCCCCAGCGGCAGCCCCGGCGGCCCGTGCGGGCTTTCGGAAGTTCAGAATAGGCGCAAATGGGAACGAGGTCCTCAACCAGGAAGAAGCAGGGAAACAGATTATTAAGGTGGTAAATGATAATTCAATGAGACGAAGGCGAAGAACTGGGATTTACATAAAGTTTTTTAAAGGACCACAGTGGAACGCTAGTATTTCAAGGCTACTGGCACAGCCACTAGCCTCTTATGTACATTGTCTTCATTCAAAAAAAGGGCAAACTAATATTTAGACAAATGCTCAGCTTTATTGATTTAATTTTGACACTAGGAAATCTCACAGCAGAAGTACAAATCATATGTACAAGTATTTATATCAATAAAAATTTCCATTGGTGATTTTTTGGCAGAATGTTGGTTTTGACTATATGTGGAATAAATATGACCATGTAAAATCTGCTGCACAGGGGTGTTCTTGCAAAATGCTTGAATAAATTGAGTGTGAAAGAATAATACTACAAATGGCTAATTAAATTGGGTGATGACTGAAAGGCTATAAATACTTCATTCCAGTTCCACGAGCAGATCTCCTTCTCCAACTGTGTCTCCAGCTTTACAATGCACTGATTTCACCTTGAATTAAAAAAAAGAAAGAAAAAAAGAAGAAGGGAGAGTCAGAATTATTAACTAGACCAGGAGGGAGCCATCTTGTCACCCGTGTCTGGAAATGAAGAGACGTTTCTTCACGGGGCGGGGAAGCTACATGGCACCCTAGAAGCCAGACGCACTGATGCTCCGTGAGCCCTCAACAGCCAGCCCTCCCAAGCTCTTCAGCGGCTTCAGGCGGTAGAAAGGTCTCTGAGAGTTACTGGTATACTTAGTGTTCAAACACAAAAACAAAACCACCACACAATTATACAAGCATCAGAAAAGAGACTCCTAATTAAGAAGAGAAAGTCCTTAGCCTGAGATCATAAACTTCCTTCTGAAGGGAAAGGAAATGCTGCGGAGCTGTGTGGCCGTGTGGACTCGGTGGCCCGATGTGGAGCAGGCACTGAGCGCCCCCCTGCGCCACTGTGCCCTCACGGTCTGTGGATTTATCTCAGCTCTAGTCAGGTTTTGCTTTGCCGAACTTGTATTCTGCTTTAAAATGGGCGGGCGGTATAGAGTGGAGAAGAGGCAGTCTTCTGACTTGTTGGGAGGTTCTTGCTTGGGCGTGAAGATAAGGTGGCGGGCTCGACCGTCCTGGGCATCTGGGCACCCGGCAAACGGGAAGAACGTCCACGACGCCGGGTTCGGTGCCCTGGCCTGTGTCCCCACGGCTCCGCTAGGAACTGGAAGGCCAGAAGGGTCCTTCTCTCTTGAATTCCGGCCCCGGAGCCCTCAGAACCCCGTGAACCCATGCAGTGACGATTTCAAAGGCCTGGGGGGTGCCACTGGCCCTGAGTGGCTGCCCATTCTGATCTGGGGCCTCCGATGTTTGCAGAGGACGCATCTTGCATGCTATGATGACGACATGGAGGACCGGCGTCCATTGTGACTTTTCTCCGGGAGGAAAAATGGCTCTCCAGATAAGAACTGCCCGTCCCGAGGCTCGCCAGGGCCTGCTCCTCTGTGCTGGGGCTCCGGCCACTCCTGGGGCGGCAGAAGGAAACGGGATGGGCAGGAAGGACTCCAGCTGATAGCGGTCAGGCCAAAGTACAGGTTGACCCGGAGCCCATCAACGCCCTGAAAGCGGCTCTGGGCCGCCGATGGCCAGGGATCGGCTGAGCCTCTGGAGACATGAGACCCAGAAGCCACCGTGAGACCGCAGGGACCCTGAACACACCGACAGACGAGGGTTCCACGCTCCTTCGGGGAGCTAAGGCCGCGTTCATTTTTGTGTTAGTACCTCAGTCCAGCAACAGGGGCCCTCGGCATGCATCGGACATATATATATATGTTCTGGGTCCCTCCAAATGAGGCCAAGTTCCCATCACGCCCGGACATTTCATGACACTAAGGCAGCAGACATGTTAAATAATCCCACGGAGCAAAACCAACAATTTCTACAAGAACAAAGACCATTCTGGGTTCACTTTTAGGAAAAGAATCAGATGTAGAAGGCAGGATTCCCCAATTGTGCCCTTCTCTCCCAAACACCCTTCCAGCCTGACTAGCCAGCTCCGGGCCCGCCCGCCCTAAACTGGGCCTCTGTGTCTCTCTGATGCAAATGACAGTGTGGGCCGGCAGTGCCCCTCTGCCAGGGCACCCATGTCCCCAGGGCTAGATCTCCGCTCCCCACGGCGCAGGCCATGGCAGCCTCTGCCCTCTCCTTGCCCCACCCCACCCTGCCTCGCTCCGGGATGCGGACCCCCCAGACCAAACTGTCCTTCAGAAAAGGCTCCCTCTGCTACGGGTGGCATCTTTGCAGAAGCAGGAAGAATAATGAAGTTGTTATTAAAAGGACTTTTCTATTTTCCTCAAGGAGAAAATACATGTGAGAAGTTTTACTCTTAACCAGTTTCAGGGCAAATACAGTTCCATTTTTTTCTCCCTAAATCATTATGTCCCACATGATCTAAAATTGAATTGTTCTCTTTGTGGAGAGTTGAAGAGTTACATTAATTCTTGCAATCTCTAAAACCAGTTCCTGCCATGTCACTTGAGTCTCAGATAACTGCCTCCGAGACAGATGTAAACATTAAAAATTAAAGACACTTTAATTCGAAAGACATTAAGGTGAAGAACAATCGTTCTTTGACTACCTGCACGTCAGACAGACTCTCCATGAGACAGGGACACATGGGTGCCAGGCGGAAAGAGCACCCAATCTTAATGTCCTGCTCTGCGGGAGCAAGGAGCCGGCAGGGGTCACCTCCATGGTCCCTTCCAGGCCCAACCATCCAAGATCCAGAGGTGGAAGTTCTGCTTCCTGTCACAGAGCTGGCAAGGGCTGGGGGGAACTTGGGGACATACCTTGCCAGTTTTCCCAGCTGTCATACTGTTCTGCATTTTCATGGCTTCAATCACACAAATTTCCTGACCTTCTGCTACCTGGAAAAATGAACAGAAAAAAGACAAGTTTTAAAATCCTTCTGATTTTGCAACACCACCACTCAGGGGTGAAGCCATCAAGAGATTCTTTGTCAAATGCTCTGAAATTTGACCCAAACAGCAGTGACCTCTAATACTTCATGTTCCAAGTGAATCTTTGGGGGGCAGCAGAGAAGGGCCATTCCCTCTGTCTTCACCAAGTGCCACAGAGATGTGGCCAAAATGGAATGTTTTCCTCTTCTGTGCAATGTCCAGATTTGGCACATCTCTACAGACGGGAAGACCTGTGGTTTCTGGGGGCTGGAAAGAAGAGAGGAGTGGTTGCTGATGCACACAGGGTTTCTTCTGAGTGGGGAGGAAGTGTTCTAGATTGACGAGGGGGGTGGCTGCACAACAAATTCCGGGAATAGACAAGAACCACTAAATGCACACGGTAAGGGGCCGACCTGCACTGGACGTGAATTTTATCTCCACAAGGCTGTCACCCAAAACTGGAGTGTGTCCGTCGGCAGCCTTGGGGAGCTGGGAAGAGCAGCCAGCCAGGGGGACCACTGTCTCA